ATAGAATTGATCAGGTCTGTTGTAATCTCCTAGAGTCCACTGAACAAAACGCCCAGCAGCGTTGTTAGCAGCAGCAGGGACTCCAGTGTCTTGTACCACTTGTTGAACCTGCTGTTCAACAATGATATTCCCATCTTTATCAATTCTCTGCCCTTCTTCATTCCTCATGTTTCCCTCTCTGTCAACCAAGTGACCTTCTGCATCTTCAACCAAGATCAGTGGATTAACTATTGTAGATTGCTTCTTAGCTTTCTTGATGGTCCTCTCCAACTTAGCAAGTTCGTCGATGCTCAAAGTCACAAGCTCATTCTCTTTGTTGCTTCTGGTACTGCGATTAGGCATACACCTGAGACCATCACAAAGAAAAGTAGCAGAGAGTAAGTAAACAAATAAAAACTTAGACAAAATCCTAATACTGAAAATCAATAGGCAGCTATTAATCCCCGGCAACGGCGCCAAAAACTTGATAGGGCTCAGGTTTTACCCAAATAAAACTACTGCAAGTGCACATCAAAGCAGTTGTAGTACAAGGGTTTATCGAATCCCAAGGGAGTAAGTAAACTACACTAAAGAGTTCAGGTTCAGATTAAGCTAAGCAATAAGTAATGAATGTAATGTGAAACAGTAAAATAAATGCAAGTGTGCATTTTATGCTTGTTCTTAAAGTTCAGAAAGCTAAATGCGCTAAGTCAGGACAATTCGCAGGTTGAATCCAAGAATGTAGAATGCATGAAATCAGGAATGATTAAGAACCGTCTTGAACATGAATCGTAAAGATATAACTAATCAATTCTCATTGCAAAAGTTAACTATGCTTAAATCACAGAGTTTCAAATGTCTTTGCAAACCCTAACAATCTAAACATGCAGTAATGATTAGGTTCAATTGTTCACAAAACTCCTAAGCCAAATCTCTTTGCACTAGGGAGTTTTGCTCATCTAATTCTAGTTCAGGTGATTAATAATGCTCTCACATCCATCAAACTGCCTAGGGTTTCGAAATCCAGATGATGTGTCTAAGAAATCGATTTTTAATGCAAGCACATATGAAGAACCAATGGATTTCCTATAAGTTTTGCAATTCTTCAAACTCTTCTTCAACCTTTGAAAAGCCTAACTTAACTAACAAACTACTCAGACATGGTGATTTGAGAAACGATCATGAAAATAATAGATTGCATAAAAGAAATAAGAAGTAGAAATAAAGGAGTTCAAAATCTTCTCTGAAGGAGTCTGATTTGTCTCTCCAAAATCTCTACTACAAATCTCTCTCTCAAGCTCTCAAAAAGAATAAAATACAAGATATCTGCCAAAAGAATGGCTGAAAAACCTAATATACAAGCTAAAACACGATATGTGGCCTTTTTGCAAATATTAGAACTTCTGGGCCAAAACTGTAATTTCTTCCCAATCTTTTAGAAACCAGCCACAAACCCTTCCCATATGGGTGACGAGCGTCACCATAAGTGGTGACGAGCGTCACCCAAATGCATACTTTCTTCTCCGAGCTGGACACTTCGTGGCTTCAACTTGTAATGCTCCAAAAGGCTTCATTATCTCCAATTATGCTCCAGACATGCTATAACCTGCAAAGACTCTACTAGGACTCTAAAAAGACCAAAAAGACTCAACTAAAAGGACTTATATCATGGTTAAAAATCATAAACACCATGATATATCAATCACCCAAGTCGATACACAAGAGACAGGACAATATCGAAGTGCTATATCGACATGAAGGTGCTCCATATGCCTTAGGAAAAGGGCGATTGTATCGATGTATAGACCTGGAGAGTCAAACCGATACACCCTTGAAGCCTTGTGTATCGATCACCATATGGACCAGGAGCATGTCGATGCAAGCACAAGAAGACCCAATATCGATGTCTGTATCGATGTTTGAAGCCGATATGGTCCACCCGAGTTAGCTTTAATTCGGTTTATTCTTGGTTTATTAGGGGTTTCTAAGCTTCCCTATAAATACTAAAGTCTTAAAAATGGTTAGGAAACTTAGATCTTATTATTTTCCCACTAAACTAGCATTGAAAATATTTTTTTTTCAGCTTTGCTTTATAAGAACTAGAATGATTTAGTGAATTTCTGCACCTTACTTTAATCTATTCTTGCTTATTCCGCTTTTTAATTATGCTTAACCGTTATTTCTCTATGGAATCTGTGGTTTTGACTATGACTAGTGAGTAGTCTTATTTAGAGTTTGAGATGGGATATATTAGAGGGGTTTTACGATTAGATTAGTGATGTCTTATGCTTAATATGATTGTCTTCTCACTATTAGATGTGCTTAACATTAGATTGGTCTTGGCCAGACTTGTTTAGTTTCTTGACTTTCTCTTATGCATGATAAGTGTTTGAAGAAATGCTGCAATGAGTCTTTTATAGGATTTGTTCTCCTAGCCTAAGGAATAAGATGTCTAAGGTGCACTTTGGCTTTATAGGATTGGAGTGCTGTTTAAATGCTTGCTGATTCATGTGTTTGAGTAATGGAAATTATCTTGAATATGTGTTTAGAAAAGTGATTAGTATCAAGGAATTGAGCTAGTTATAGTTGTTAATCCTATTCCTAGAAGATAGCATTGTTTGAATGGTTTTAATGCATCACTAGTTTAGTTCTAATCCCTTCTTAGTCAATAACCCCCATTTTAGATCCTTGCTTTAATCTATTTGAAATTCCTTCTTTAAATCTGTGCTTGTTAGTTTTGTTTAGTTTTATCACAACTGTTTTCTTGGATTTGGCTTCACTTAAGTGAACTGCTGCATTCTTAGTGTCTTATGAACCAGATGGATTGACACCTTTCGTACTGGAATGACATAGAGTGTGTTAGGATTTGATTAGACAAAATCCTGTTATCATCCTTATGATCGAATTGTCTGATAATTTTGATGATATGAACAGGGATATCTCTCAAGATGCAGGAGCTAAAGGCTTTGTTTCTGGCCGTGCGATTGTATTGTAGTTTTGTAACGGAGTTTGATCTTCACACATTACTCGATTCAGCTGCTTTGGCGACGAATCTTTGGGTCATATATATGACCCGTTTCACTCTTAGTCCCACTTATATGGAAGACAAAGACAATTTTGCTATCTACTACGTTGTAAGTTACAAAGCCCTCTGTTTTCACTTTTATGTTTATGTCTTTTTGAGTGTCAAATCTTGTGTATTCGAAGAATGTGTTTATGTGCGATTACTTCCAGGATAATCATTCGTAAAGACTTTCTTCGTTTTAGCTCTCTGTCTTCAGGGCTTGTGATACAATATCAAAAACCAGTAAATCAAGGGTCTTCAATATGTAAATTATTATTAGAATCTGTTCTTCATGATTTACAAAGTCAAAGGATTCTCATTCAAGTCCACAGCAAGATTGGTGGCAAGAAGACCATTATTTGATTTAGCTTATTTTTCTCATTTTGTTTAAATGTAAATAATTTCATTTAAGTGTATTTATTGGTAGAGATCTTTTGTAAGAGCTATAAAAGCTCGTTGTTCTCATTGTAAAAAGATATAGAAATTTTTGGAAATTAAAAGAGATTTTTCTCTAAAGCTTTGGCTTTGTTTTTGTTTATCTAAGCAAGATGGAATTCTTCACTTAGTAAACATTTGAATCTATGTCTCTTGTGTGCGATGCCTTGAAACTAAGTTTGTGAACTCATCACAGGGGCTTCCACACCCTTGAGTGGCGTTCTTCGATCCACCCATCTATCAATCTCATCCACTGATCCAGCCTGAAAGAGACTTGAGTCCAGCAGGATTGATCCCGCAACCATCCACTTCAATCATCTTTTAAGCAAGTAGAAAGAGACTTCAGTCCAGCTGCTTTGTTTCCATCTATTCACCTATCAACTATAAGATCATACCCCCTTGATCTTATATCATTTGGTATCAGAGCTAAAAGCTCCTATCTTCTATCTTTTTTTTTTCTGTTTTGTTTTTGTTTCATGCTTTACAAGTTTTCATTAAAAATAAAATAAAAATTTTGGTTGTTATTATTCTTTAATTTTTATAAACTTGAAAAAAAAACTCAGAAAAAATAGTTTTATGTTTTTTTTATTCATGATTCTTTTTTTATTTTAAAAAACCTTCAAAAAAAATAGTGTTTTTCTCTTATCATTGAAGTTTGTTTCTTTCATTAAAAAAATAAAAAACTCTATTTCTATTTACGCTTTTTGTTTATTTCGATTTTTCTGTTTAAACAAAAACATAAAATGAAAAAAAGTTTTATTTATTTTCTAAATAATATTTGCTAAAAAAAAAGTTTTGAGGACAAAACCATTTGAAGAGGGAGAGAATAATACAATATCAAATACCAGTAAATCAGGGGTCTTCAATATGTGAATTATTATTAGAATCTGCTCTTCATGATTTATAAAGTCAAAGGATTCTCATTAAAGTCCAAAGCAAGATTGGTGGCAAGAAGACCATTATTTGATTTAGCTTATTTTTCTCCTTTTGTTTAAATGTAAATAATTTCATTTAAGTGTATTTATTTGTAGAGATCTTTTGTAAGGGCTATAAATGCTCATTGTTCTCATTGTAAAAAGATATAGAAATTTTTGGAAATTAAAAGAGATTTTTCTCTAAAGCTTTGGCTTTGTTTTTGTTTATCTAAGCAAGATGGAATTCTTCACTTAGTAAACATTTGAATCTATGTCTCTTGTGTGCGATGCCTTGAGACTAGGTTTGTGAACTCATCACAGGGGCTTCCACACCCTTGAGTGGCGTTCTTCGATCCACCCATCTATCCATCTCATCCGCTGATCCAGCCTGAAAGAGACTTGAGTCCAGCAGGATTGATCCCGCAACCATCCACTTCAATCATCTTTTAAGCAAGTAGAAAGAGACTTCAGTCCAACTGCTTGCTTCCATCCATTCACCCAACCATTTATAAAATCATCCCATTGATCTTATATCAGCTTGTATTAAACACTTGCCTAAGCAGTAGATGATCAATAAGAGGATTTTGTGAATTTGTTTATTGATTTGGATGAGTAATCAGATCAATGAGAATCTTGATAGCAATGTAATATTTGTTTTGATACATTTTATCTTCTTGCTTCAGGTGATCCCATGTGCTGTTGTATCTATCCTCATTCACCCGTCAACACGTCACCACATCATAAACAGCTCCTTTGGGCATTCTTTATTTATCTTGAAGCTGTTTCAGTTCTTCCTCAATTAAAAGTCATGCAGAACACCAAGGTCTATGTCCTATTTAAATAAATAGAAGAAACATGTTTCTGTCTGTATCTTTACTCGGATGTTTATGCCTTCTTCTCAGATTATGGAACCATTCACAGCACATTACTTATTTGCTTTGGAAATCCCTCGGTTCTTGAGTTGTGCACACTGGATCCTTCAGGTTCTTGAGGTACAACATAATAAAATCTTATTAATTGTTTCTTCAAATATACAGCTTCTGAAAAAAATGATTTAATCTCATGTAGGTGTTGGATTCGAGAGGACGGTTACTGACTGCATTAGGATATGGACTATGGCCTTTAATGGTCCTCTCTGAAATCATCCAAACCTCAACTCTTGCAGATTTCTGCTATTATTATGTTCAGAGGTATTCATTTTGAAAAAATTGATCCCGGTGTATATAGACTATTGTTGAAATATTATGAATGTCTTAAGATATGGATCTTTTTTTCTGTTTTGGCAACAGTTTAATGGGTGGGCAGCTCGTTCTTCGTCTCCCATCAGGCGTGGTGTAATCATAAGCTTTGTGATGGACTGTTCGAGCTTGTGGAGGTTCAAATTGATTAGAGATTTTGAGAACAGTATTTCATGATTTTGTTAGCAAAAAAACATTAGTTAATTAGAATTAGTTTTCCATAATAATATTTAATTCAGATTTCGGTGTGATGACGTTTTGACTCCACGATCATATAATTTCAGATACGACGCTTACTGTTCCAACTTTTGGCATCTTTGAATGACACTGTAAAGAAAAATATATAACCAGCCGTTTTATATATCGGACTGGAATGGATCATCAGATATTTTAGATAGATTATGAAAATGTTCAAAACGTAAAATTCTTGTTTCACGAGCACAAGATAAAAAACACGAGAGTAAACAAAAGGAGAAAAAAAGCTCTATGATTAATACCCGTGAAAGTCCTATATAGTTTGCAGTTCACATTTCTTTTCTGTTTTGAATCGACTCTTTAATATCACATTTGTGTAATCATTTACTACTAACATAGGTTCTAATAATCTAAAAACTGGTGGTGTCATATTTACTTATTTTGTATGTGATTCTCGATTTGATAATAATATATAATTTACAGTTCATATTTCTTTTCTGTTTTCAATCGACTCTTTAATATCACATTTGTGTAATCATTTACTAATAACATAGGTTCTAATTATCTTAAAACTGGTGGTGCCATATTTACTTATTTTGTATGTGATTCTTGTATCGGATTGGAACGGATCATCAGATATTTTAGATAGATTATGAAAATGTTCAAACGTAAAATTCTTGTTTCACGAGCACAAGATAAAAAAATACGAGAGTTAACAAAAGGAGAAAAAAAGCTCTATGATTAATACCTCTGAAAGTCCTATATAGTTTGCAGTTCACATTTCTTTTCTGTTTTGAATCGACTCTTTAATATCACATTTGTGTAATCATTTACTAATAACATAGGTTCTAATTATCTTAAAACTGGTGGTGCCATATTTACTTATTTTGTATGTGATTCTTGTATCGGATTGGAACGGATCATCAGATATTTTAGATAGATTATGAAAATGTTCGAACGTAAAATTCTTGTTTCACGAACACAAGATAAAAAAACACGAGAGTTAACAAAAGGAGAAAAAAGCTCTATGATTAATACCTCTGAAAGTCCTATATAGTTTGCAGTTCACATTTCTTTTCTGTTTTGAATCGACTCTTTAATATCACATTTGTGTAATCATTTACTAATAACATAGGTTCTAATTATCTAAAAACTGGTGGTGCCATATTTACTTATTTTGTATGTGATTCTTGATTCCATAATAATATATAACATGTCCTCTTTTATTGGTTTCTAAAAGTTTTAATAGTATGTAACAAATGGCAGGTTGTCATATTATTAACTTTTTGGAGCGATTTAAATACAGAAGTAAACAAAAACAAAAGAAAAACCAGTACCAAACACGGGTATTCATCTAGTAATAGAATAACAAATGAGTGGAATACATCATTTATTTTTATCTCATTCTTTTTATTACCCTTTTCACTAGTAGGATACGATCCGAACTTTGCATGGAATTTTACATTTTATTTAATAATATAGTTATATTAAATTAATTAATATAAAATATAAAATATAAAATATAATTTTATTTAGTTATTTGCATTTTATGCATGTTAATAAAATATAATTAATCGGAAACATATGATATAAAGTAAAAAAGTATATATACTTATAAAGCTAATTTTGTTTTATCAAAAACAATACATATCAAGATTTTGAATACACATATCTATAGACAAAATTTAAATAGTCATATATTTAATATTGCTGTCAATTGTTAATTTAAGATGTCAAAAATATACTAAATATTATATTTAACTTTTTCTTTTTAAAATTTAAGTCATAATTACATTTATACAACATTAATTTTATTCCATAAACATCTAATATTTGTTTAGATATAGTACAGATAATATTAATATTTTTGCTTAAACGTTTGATCAATACATATTCATAGACAAAATTTAAATAGTTACATATTTAATATTGATGTCAATTGTTAATTTAAGATGAAAAACAATATACTAAATATTACATTTAAAATTTTTTCTTCTTAAATTTAAGTTATATGTTAATTTATACAACATTAATTTTATTTAATAAGTGTTTAGTATTTGTTTAGATACATAAGAGACAATATTGATCTTTTTCTTAAATGTTTGATCAATGTATTTCCAAGACTCTCTCTCTATCTCTCCTTCTTCAGTAGTACAAATAACATTTTGATATGGTTTCAACTAAAAACAAACTTATCTTCCTCGTAAGTCTTCTCTCTCCCTTCCTCCCTCATAAATACAGTATTTTAAACTATGAATAACATTTTGGCATAGTTTTAACTTAACATTAACCTATTTTCTTCAAAACTCTTATTTTCTTATTATTTTTAATGTATCTTCTTTAATTTAAATGTTGTAGATTTTTTATAAAACTTTGTCCCCTTTTGACTCAAAGATTACGTTTAGCAGATTTTTATAAAGCTTTTTGTTTAATTTATTATCTGTTATGTTCTTTTTTTCTTTAATTTCTATAACATTTATTACTGTAATAGATTTATGTAGAATATGAAAAATTATTTTAATCATAATAAATAAAAATTTTAATTTAGTAATTTTAGTTATGTCATATTTAAATTTTTTAAATTATATTACTTAATTTGAATTTTTCTTATGTTAAAATTTTTGAATTGGAGATAAAATATTGACTATAAATATGCTATATACTTATAATTGTTATAGGGGAGAAACAAAAAATACATTTTCATGCTTAGAAATTAGTGTTTAAGTGAACAGAATTTCAATATATGGTAACAAAATTTTATGTGAGCACATGTCAACCTAAAAATCTCTGACCCTGCCTCTCTCACTAAGACCCTAAATTTGCCTACAGGAGGATATGTTCTCATGGAGTACAAGCATGAAAAAGTAAAAAATGGTGTTTCCACTGCCAACGCTTAACCCATGAATGTCCGGCTTGCCCTCTCCTTCATCGGAGAACTTCTTTAATTCTTATATAACTAACATTTATTAATGTAATAGATTTATGTAGAATATGAAAAGTTATTTAATTATAATAAATAAAATCTTTAATTTAGTAATTTTAGTTATGTAATATTTAAAATTTTTAAATTATATTACTTAATTTGAATTTTTTTAAAATGTTAAAATTCTTGAATTGGAGATAAGATATTGACTATAAATATGTTATATACTTATAATTATTATAGGGGAGAAACAAAAACATACATTTTCATGCTTAGAAATTAGTTTCAAGTGAACAGAATTTCAATATATGGTAACAAAATTTTATCCGAGCACATGTCAACCTAAAAATCTCGGACCCTGCCTCTCTCACTAAGACACTGAATTTGCCTACAGGAGGATCTGTTCTCGTGGAGTACAAGCATGAAAAACTGAAAAATGGTGTTTCCACTGCCAACGCTTAACCCATGACGTCCGACTTGCCCTTCGTCGAATAAAATTTGGAATTATAAAGAATTACCAACTAAAGTGCGAATTTCAAACATTCGGCGACAGTGAAGAAATAGTCCAAGAAGTCTGTTTCCGCATCTCTTGGCTCTTGTCGAACGCTTAAACTGTACCCTCTGACCGTAATTGGATAATATCACATTGTCGTTTTCACTCTTAACAGAGAATTTAGAAATCTCATACCAAGAATCAGGCTCAAAGCAATTTCCAAAGACTAAAAAATTATCCGGCATGACAGTCACCAAGATCCGAGTTCCCTGGCCGAAAAATTTAAGAAATAAAAAAGGTTAAATAGACAGATATGTATGCGAAGCAGGAGGAATATTCAGCTACGTCGTTTAAAACAAATACCCGATTATCACAGGCTATAACTTCTAAAGTGCGACCAAATTAGTTATCTTACTTCCATAGACTAAGAACCTTGATACAGACCGACCGATCGACAAATCCATTTTGTAAACCAAGAAGAGAATCCATGACGGAGTTGAGAAGGGGTCGTTTTTTACAATAATCTGTCAAGCAATGTTTATCGGAGACAAAAGAGGATGGAATAACTTTCAAATCCCCTAAATGAGAAGATATACATAAGGAACGGAAAACACTCGCATTCTTTTATTTTAGACAACTACTCTTTCTCTCAAACAATAAAAAAAACCGACAACATTTCATATTACTTATATTTGTCCGTATTAGGATCGTACCGTTGCAAGTTGGAATCAAAGTAAGAAACATATTGACAATCGAGTTAATTATATGATATATTATATATAATAACTAAATAAAACTTTGATAATTACGAAACAATAAAATGGATTATGAGAGTGCAAAAACAACATGCTCAGTATAGCCATCTGCACCTATATAATAACATAGACCCCAAATCAGATCATATCAAATACTATAGTGTAGACAACATTTTTTGTTTTTCGCAACGCTCAACCGTCGGCATCGGTGATCAAAATCTTCAAACCCTTGCGAGTGGTAACCTTAGAAACGGCTACATACAGTTGCCCATGAGAGAATACCGGTTTATGAAGATATACACCAACCTTCTGCAGAGTCTGCCCCTGACTTTTATTGATTGTCATTGCGTAAGCTACACATATCGATAATTGTTTCCTCCTCATCCTAAAAGGGAATCTTCCATCAGTTGGACTGAGAAACATTCGAGGTATCAGCACTTTCTGCCCAACAGAATCACATGTTATAAGCTTAGCCTCGAGAACGTGATCAACCATTTGCGTGATCAACATACTTGTCCCATTGCACAAGCTATTTTTCGGATCGATATTTCTAAGAAGCATTATCGGAGTACCAATCTTTAATCGTAAACAATGATTCGGCAAACCAGACAACTTGATGCTATTCAAAAATTCTTGCGAGAAAGCAATACTATCCAGCTTACTTGTATCGTAAGTTTCGATGGAATTAGAACCGAGGTACACTTTTTCATCATGTACTCGAACAAAGCAGAGAC